CTATTATTCAGTATTTGTTAACTATGTGAGTCTATATTGAGAGACTGGACTGGTGGTATCACCTGTCTACAAGTATTGCTAGATATAATACTTTAATGTTGCTCTATGAGTAGTGAAATAACTTGTTAATTCTTTATACATTTTAACCACTCTAGACGACAATGAATTATTACTCCTGTATGAATAATCTACAATATAAAAGAAAAACAGTTCTTTTGGAGCCATTGCTCGGCTGCTTACATTCCCAAATAATGCATTATAAAACGGGTCAGGAAGGATTGTCAAACAACTTAGAAGACTTTCTTACAAATATCAGTGTCAGTGTACAAAGGTAAACAACTTATTCATCACACTTCAATGCACTTCCACCACATGCACATCATAACACAGTTGATATGCATTTAATCCTCCAGATTTACAAGTTTTCAATAATCAAAATTACTTCTTGTAAGAATAACACAAGATGTACATTATAATGTGGCTTATTTGCTATTCTCTTTCATGGCTCTACAATTCCTAGGTTTTCACCAGTGCATCATGGAAATTATAATTTGACTGGCTTACCCATCATTCACTGTGTGTACATATAATGCCAGATTTGTTGATCATGGGTGATTATATATTATGCACACCAAAAACAGCAGTTTAATCATTATGAATTTGCATACTTTCCATCTTTCCTTTTATGTACATAAGGCCAATGTTTAAACAATGCCACTCTATAAGCTTTCTCTGCTGTATTTTGACATCATGCATTTCTTAATGTTTTAAATATAGTTTAATTTATGGTGTTCTTTCTAGTGTGCACTCTGAATTAACAGAAGAGCAGCAAAAATCTCAACAGAAAATGGATGAACTTATTGGTTCCAGTACATATTTTTATACACCAGACCCAACTCCTGATATGCAGATGAGACCAAGAGCCATTGATACTGATATCAAACAGAAAGCTGGTTATCTATTTGTAAGATGGTAAGTATCAAACAGAAAGCTGGTTATCTATTTGTAAGATGGTAAGTATCAAACAGAAAGCTGACTATCTGTGAGATGGTAAGTATCAAACAGAAAGCTGGCTATCTGTAAGATGGTAAGTATCAAACAGAAAGCTGGCTATCTATTTGTAAGATGGTAAGTATCAAACAGAAAGCTGGCTATCTGTAAGATGGTAAGTATCAAACAGAAAGCTGGCTATCTATTTGTAAGATGATAAGTATCAAACAGAAAGCTGGTTATCTATTTGTAAGATGGTAAGTATCAAACAGAAAGCTGGTTATCTATTTGTAAGATGGTAAGTATCAAACAGAAAGCTGGCTATCTGTAAGATGGTAAGTATCAAATAGAAAGCTGGCTATCTATTTGTAAGATGGTAAGTATCAAACAGAAAGCTGGCTATCTATTTGTAAGATGGTAAGTATCAAACAGAAAGCTGGTTATCTATTTGTAAGATGGTAAGTATCAAACAGAAAGCTGGTTATCTATTTATAAGATGGTAAGTATCAAACAGAAAGCTGGCTATCTGTAAGATGGTAAGTATCAAACAGAAAGCTGGTTATCTATTTGTAAGATGGTAAGTATCAAACAGAAAGCTGGTTATCTATTTGTAAGATGGTAAGTATCAAACAGAAAGCTGGTTATCTATTTGTAAGATGGTAAGTATCAAACAGAAAGCTGGCTATCTGTAAGATGGTAAGTATCAAACAGAAAGCTGGCTATCTATTTGTAAGATGGTAAGTATCAAACAGAAAGCTGGCTATCTATTTGTAAGATGATAAGTATCAAACAGAAAGCTGGCTATCTGTAAGATGGTAAGTATCAAACAGAAAGCTGGTTATCTATTTGTAAGATGGTAAGTATCAAACAGAAAGCTGGCTATCTATTTGTAAGATGATAAGTATCAAACAGAAAGCTGGCTATCTGTAAGATGGTAAGTATCAAACAGAAAGCTGACTATCTATCTGTAAGATGGTAAGTATCAAACAGAAAGCTGGCTATCTATTTGTAAGATGATAAGTATCAAACAGAAAGCTGGCTATCTGTAAGATGGTAAGTATCAAACAGAAAGCTGACTATCTATTTGTAACTTAAAGATGGTAAGTATCAAACAAAGCTGACTATCTATTTGTAAGATGATAAGTATCAAACAGAAAGCTGGCTATCTATTTGTAGGATGGTAAGTATCAAACAAAAGCTTCTAAATAAGATGCTCACTTGGTAAATGTTCATGTTTGACTTGGTCATTTTGAATACATCTATATATTTATAATATGATGTATAATAAATATATAAAATTTAATAATAATCAGTCAAAGCATGCCAGTCAGCCATTTTGAATCTGATCTGAAAAATAAAATGATGTGCATCAGGATTCAATGTCAAATGTATGTAGCATGGTTGATCAAAATCAATCTATGAATGCCAGAAATCTTTGGTTTTGGATGATTATTTACCGCAAAAATGGCCGCCATTTGGCCATTTTGACGATCAAACCAATATATCTGTATACCTATGTCGTGATGTATAATGAATGTATAAAATGTGAACATAATCAGTCAAAGTATGGCAGAAATATGGCACGAGAACTGCATTCATTAAAACAAAATGGACACCATTTTAAATTCTATTTGAAAAATATGACGTGCATTAAGGTCCCATAATGTCCAACGTATGTACGGTATTTGAAACAAAATCCATCTATAAATGCTTGATTTTGATGTCTTTTCAGCACATAAATGGCCACTAATCCGCCATCTTAATTCAGATTGTGAAACAAACTGATGTGCATATGTATAATATTATGTATGATGTATGTGTGAAATTTGAATGTAATTGCTCCAGGCATGTCCAAGATATAGGTCCAGATGCACATAGGTCAATCCATAAGTTCCCATTTTGGACTGTGTCCGAAGGAGACTTTAAGACTACTTTCTGCTAGCTATATGAAACAAGTCATTGTTAATGACACAGTCCCTGTTATGGGAAATGTTATTCATGCCTAAGATAACTAATATGACTGAAAAGCAAGTTGCACATTTGTCTTATCTAATCACAAATTGAATTTATTTATTGCTACATGTACGTGCATAATATTTGCAATGGCACTTACAATTTAACAGAGAACAAAGCACAAATTTGTTTTAATGCTGTTCCAGTGCAATATCACTCAATACATACTGTTTGACAATCAGATACAAGATGTCAATCATTTTAATGTTAAAAAAATCTTCATCATATTCCATGTTTATGTTCCAACTACATTACTGTAAACAAAACTATAATATATCTTAAATTTGATAACTAACAGGGACTGTGCCATGCATGGCTTGTCTTTGATAGGGTTGGTGCCATTTAAGTGTTCATGAAATGTCAAATTATCACATCAGTGAATCAGTGAATAGATTGGAATGCATATGTCAATATTTCTTAAGTGATTGTTCAGGTAGTTTGATTGTTGTACATGTTTGTTTTTTACAGTAAACAAGGCTTTTCTACAAGATGGGAAAGACGGTATTTCTTTACACAAGGTGGTAATTTAATGAGCCAACCTAGAGAACAGGTAAGCCATGTACTAATTCAGATTTTATTATTTCCTGGATTCAAGTCAATTCGAACTAAAGTTTCCATGTCATTTTCTTCATTGTCAGTATGTTAAAGGAAAAATGAAAACAAACAAATTAAAGATCATCACACATTTTTTTGCAGATTGCGAGTCTGAAAGGACAAATTTGCATTTTATCTATAGTTGGTTTTGACGTTTAGTTTTTTATCGCCATACCTCAAAATTGTGCTCATTGTTTCAGACTGAAGAAGGCATATATAATATTATATGGTTACATTGTTATAGATCATAATATTGTAATTTCAAATGTTCCAGCGTTTTAATCAATGTTTTTCCATTATATGCAAAATTTTCTTCTACACTGCATTGCACACACATGCTGTCTCAGTTATGTGCTTGATGATCCAAAATTCCAACTTTGCCATGATAATAGAAACCTAGAGGTGATTTTCCAGTCAGTACTGTGAACAGGATAGTATCCTAGCAAACATCTAATGGTGTCAGTGTTTGATGCATGTACTTCAGTTGCTTGTCCACTCTAGTTTGCAGGTGCTTTAGTCATGGATTTAGATAAATGCAATATTCAACGAGCTGACTGTGATGATCGAAGATATGTTTTTCAAATTACTGCTTCAAATAAAAGGTACCAATTTATAAATCTATATTCTTGATAGGTCAAATGAGTTATTTTTTGACTATTTATACCTCTACTTCTCATCAACTGCTAGACAGTCGATGTTTGAGTTGATACACATTTCTGGTTATGAATGTTAGTAGAGTGGCATATAGTGAGTGAAAGACCACACAGATTCTAGGCATTAGTAGACTGGCATATAGTGAGTGAAAGACCACACAGATTCTAGGCATTAGTAGAGTGGCATATTGTGAGTGAAACACTACATAGAATCTAGGCATTAGTAGAGTGGCATATAGTGAGTGAAAGACCACATTGATTCTAGGCATTAGTAGAGTGGCATATAGTGAGTGAAAGACCACATTGATTTTAGGCATTAGTAGAGTGGCATATAGTGAGTGAAACACCACATAGATTCTAGGCATTAGTAGAGTGGCATATAGTGAGTGAAACACCACATAGATTCTAGACATTAGTAAAGTGGCATATAGTGAGTGAAAGACCACATTGATTCTAGACATTAGTAGAGTGACATATAGTGAGTAAAACACCACATAGATTCTAGACATTAGTAGAGTGACATATAGTGAGTAAAACACCACATAGATTCTAGGCATTAGTAAGAGTGGCATATAGTGAGTGAAACACCACATAGATTCTAGGC